CATGACGTTTGGTGTATACACTATGCATATAGTGCATGAATGCTTAAGCAATAATATTTAGAGAGAAATGAGTACCTGAGCTTATCGAGCGACGCCCTTTTTGTACTCTGTAAAACACAATCTCTCGTGTATATCAAATGTACATAGTTTATCAAAACATATATGGTGTATCCAAATTTTAAATAATAAACAATGTGTAGGCATGCAATATAACAGCGTTGTCACGCCTTAAACAAGATGGCAAGATATTTGTACGGAGGAATAATGGGTTACCTGATCATTCCTGAGCAAGCTCCTCCAACCTCATTGCCTTATGGTAGCCGTGATATCCTTCTTTTTCTGTCGGGTACTTTCAAAGCATTTCTTTCCATTTCGTCACCGCACCTGGTACGCTACAGTATACTCTCGTGCGATGTTCGAACCAGGTTTTGCAATAGTATAAAAAGCAAAATGCCAAGTTCTCGTGTGCCTAAATTTATGTGCTTGACAAACAACATCACGGGCTCAAAATTTTCGTTGTTCTTCACTACCTTGAAACTTATTGAACAGCTCGGTGGTCGTGGCGTGTAAAACTTCAGAAAATAATATTAGTTTCTTAGGAACAAGGCGAAAGAAATAAAATTATTTTCTAACAATGTGCCTAGAAATAGGTTCCTTTGGAACCTCGCTCTTTACGTAATAAAAGGAGAGTTGCAAAGCGCACACACTAACAATCCAAGTAAAGCTTAAAGGTGGTCTACATAAAATAAAACACTGCCCGCATCTTCAAATGGGGGGGACTCGAGTAAACGCGCCACAGATTGGTGGAGTTATCGCGTGAATGTTGCGTAATTGGGTATCCTTTGGGAAAGCTGAATCGGTATTTCGTCTTTATTGTTCCTATTTATTGACTGAAGGAGAAGCGTTGCCTTCAACGAGTGATGGGAAGATGATGTGCGATACAGAGCCTACATATACAGGGTGGCCAGTAAATGATTGTGCAGCACGAGCGGTTCGCTTCTACTTCTAGAAGCAGCTTGCGTCAGCCTTGCGGAACGAAAAAAAGGAGGGTGGAGAAAACAGTGAGCACGAGCTGCAAGCATTCAACACGCTACGCGAGGCGCAAGCATGCTTAGTGGTGGTGAGACCATAGTCGGTAACACACAACACGTGAAACCATGCGAGTAAGCAATGCTCCGCATTTAAAAACACAATCTGCTCGAAAGCGATTTCACACTACACGGAATAAAATTTAGCCCCTAATACAGAGATCGCCAAGTGTGTGTGGTTCTAAGTCTACTCTATACCATACCCTTGGAAGCAGCGATGCACTGCATTGCCAGATCACTTCAACGCCCCTCACTTCTGCCTAACATTTCTCGACCGAATATATTTGGAGAGAGTCATGTGTTTTAGTAGGGAGGGGACATGCTCTGTTGGCCATGAACCGATATAATCACACTCAGAAATGATAAATTTGTTTTTTTTGTTTTTATGCCGCTGTGATTCAGTGAACATACTTGTAACTGTACGCTTTGTATGAAACACACCTCGTGAAGCTGTTGTTTCAATCTCTTACAGCAACTCAGACGATTCCATCGTCTACACCACCTACACCACCTGCACAATCCACACCTCCTACACGACCTCCACGACCTACACCGACAGGACCACCTGTGCCACGTAAGGATGCATTCATTACTATCATTATTTTATTTCAGAGTGGTTTCTAACCTTGTAGAGATGTCTGTCGCAATTGCTTTTGTTGAAAACATTGAATCTAGTGCCCCTTGTGTGTGCCTGGAGAGCCAAGAGGAGTTAAGGGTGAAGGAAATATTACTTGGGACATTACTATCCGTTTTCTCCTCAACGTAGTTGACCTCCTCAAGCTTTATGTCACCTATTGCTTGAGAAATAAATAGTCGGTAAGCATGGTAACAGCTTTCTGTCGATTTGCTGGCCCGGTTGTTCACTCTTTGCTGCAAGAGATGGCAAAATGTCTTCCAGAAATAAATTGCACGCAAATAATGATTACAATATTTAAAGATTTCTGACTATAATAAGTCACTTTGTATCTTCACATGACCTACAATAATTATATGAAGTTACTACCCACCATCCACCCTGGTGGTTCAGCCACTCTTCAAGTGGTACAAGTGACCAGACGCCCCGATTCAAGTGGCGCACGTCTCGGTTTTCAAGCTGGTGTGTTTAGTCCCCATTTTAGCCTACGGCAGCTCGTATTAATGTATAGTTTGGGCAAAGCACCTCTTCGCTATACTGTATACTAAACAGCATAATTTTTCTTTTTTTCTGTCTATATTTATTTATTTATATCATTTGCTTTCCCTCTTTTTGATGTCTTTTTTTCTAGTTCTCTTGACCTTATTCTTATGTTTCCGGTAAATGCACGTTCAGCCACCTTGCCTGGATAGCAGAGTGGCTGAGACGCTTGCCTTTAATGCGTAGTTATCTTTCTTCTGTCCCCATCTAGAAATTTCATTGCGTTTTATTTATTCATTTCCTTCCACTCTCCGTTTCTCATCTCTTTTTCGTCCCCTTCCCTTCCTATTATTCGTTTAGCTATTAAGGAATTTTTCGTTAACGCGTGGCTTTTTCTTTCCCGAATACTTCCCTCAGCCCTCCTCGCTTTGGTTCACTTTGCTCTCTCCCACCCTGGGCTTTAACTTTTTTCCTCACTAATATGTATCAATAAGCTTCACTCCCTTTTCCCTCACAGGCACCGTAATGTGTAAAAAGTTTTCCCAATTCCTTTCATGCACACATGCCCGATAATTTGAGCACAATACGTGGGCTTGATTTAGGCGCTTTTGATCGAACTATGACTTGTTTTTCCTTCAAGCATTCTACATAAGTTTTCCCACAGCACATACGTAGGAGTCCCTTCTGTGTACCACTGACTCGGCACAGCAACGCCGGGTAATCTCACGCACCTTGGAGGCTGCAGTGTCCCAAGGGATACCCGCTGACCTCCTCTAAGCAACTTAACCGACCTCTGGGCCGGAGTAACGAAGTTTTGGTCATCACCGTCATCTCAACTTCCCCCTCCTTCCGCTTTGGAGTGTGTGTCTAGTGAGGACTGGTTCAGACTCAATTATTATTTCCTTATAGGAACAAGGCGAAACAAATAAAATCATTTTTTCACACTGTGCCTAGAAAAGGATCCTTTTAAACCTCGCTTTTTACGTAATCAAAGGAGAGCTGCAAAGCGCTTTCACTAATATTTCAAATAAAGTCCGAAGCCGGTCTACAAGAAAAAAAATGCCGCCCACATCTTCAAATGGGGGAACTCGTGTAAGTGCGCCACAGAGTGGAGGGGGGGGATCCGCGTGAATGCTGCTGTAATTGGGTATGCTTCGCGAATGCCTAATTGATATTTCGTCCAACTATTCCTATTGATCGAGTGAAGGAGAAGCATTGCCTTCTACGAGTGGTGGAAAGAGAATATGCGATACAGAGCCTACATATACGGGGTGGCCTGTGAACGGTTGTGCAGCACGAGCAGTCGGTTTTTACTAACAGGAACGGCTTGCGTCAGCCTTGTGGGGCGAAAAAGTGAGGGTGGAGAAAACAGTGAGCACGAGATGCAAGCATGTGGCATGCTACGCGAGGCTCAAGAATGCTTAATGGTGGTGAGGACATAGCCGGTAACGCATGATGCATGTCACCGTGGGAGTAGGCAGCTCTCCGATTTTAAAACACATTCTGCTCGCAAGCGATTTCACACTACACGGAATATAATTTAGCCCCTAATACGCAGATTGCCAAGAGTGTGTGGTTCTAAGCCAAATTTATACTATACCCCTCCTAGCATGTACAACGCATTGCCAGATCACTTCTTCGCACCTCACTTTTGCCTAACATTCCTTGACCTAACATATTTAGAGAGAGGCATGGGTTTTAATAGGGGTGGGACAACCTACGTTGGCCACGAACCGACATATTCACACTAAGAAACGATCACTTTGTTCTTCTTTTTTATGCCATCGTGCCTCAGTGGACATACTTGTAACTCTACGTTTTGCATGAGAACACACCTCGTGAAGCTACCGCTTCAATCTCATGCAGCAACTCAAACCATTCCATCGCCTACGCCACCTACAGCACCTGCACCACCTACACGACATCCGCAACCTACGCAACCTACACGACCTCCAAGACCTACACCACCTACACGATCTACAACGACAGAATCACCTGTGCCAGGTATGGGTACATTCATTACTATCATTATTTTATTTCAGAGTGGTTTCGAACCTTGTAATGATGTATTTCGCATCTGCTTTTGTTGGAAACATTGAATCCAGTGTGCCTTGTGTCTGCCTAGAAGAGCCAAGATAAGTTAAGGGCGAAGAAAATTATACTTGGGGCATTACTATCCGTTTTCTCCTCAACGTAGTTGACCTCCTCAAGCTTTATGTCACCTATTGCTTGAGAAATAAATAGTCGGTAAGCATGGAACAGCTTTCTGTCGATTTGCTGGCCTGGTTGTTCACTCTTTGCAGCAAGAGATGGCAAAATGTCTTCCAGAAATAAATTGCACGCAAATAATGATTACAATATTTAAAAATTTCTTATTATATTAAGTCACTTTGTATCTTCACATGACCTACAGTAATAATATGAGATTATTACCTGTCATCCATCATGGTGGTCTAGTGAATGTGGTATTAGACTGCTGATTCAGAATTGTCGGTGTCGAATCTCGACCATGGTGACTGTCACAAATGAGTACTGAAAAAGAGCACGCCTCCAGATTCTAGCGACGGCGACGATACCAGGCGCCGTTCGGACACCCGAGAAGCCAGTGTATAAGATGATAACAAGCACCAAAAGGCTCCTCGGGTGTGCTACCTCTCCCGCTCGAAAGCGGCGCTATTCCGACCAACCTCCTCATTTGTCAACGAGCGATCTCTGGAAAAATTTTAAAGGGAAGGGGCTTGGTGATACATAGTGGCGCGCTGTTACAAGGGAGGTCCCGCCCGTTCCTCAGCCTTGACTGTGCGCCGCGCCGACAAGACGATTAGAAATCTTCTCGAAACTAGGCGAGTGAAAATAAGCTAGCAGAGGACAAAGCCGCAGTAGTAGATAAAATGAGCTTGCCACCTTCAGGCTAAGTGCTTGTAGTACAGTGACCAAGCAGAGAAGCTGAGGGTTTTGCCGCTGTCAGGCGATGGCTTTTGTCGTCAGTGACAATGCGAGAGATGAAGAGGTTATCACCTGCGGGTGAAGGCTTGTGTTATAAGCAGGAGGAAAGTCCTAGTTGGCCGCCAGTGGGTGAAGACGTGTTTGAAATTTCAGCGCACGAAACCACTTTTTACCGGCGAATACGTTTTTTATTAGAGTGTGGACATTTAACGACGTGAGCATACCTGGGAGAGAAACTTCAGAAGCAGCAGAACGACAATCTCACCGGACTTTGGGTGAGTGTTTTCTTGAAGAGAACATTTAAAGCTTTGCGCCAAGAACTTTGGGCTGAATTTATTCAACGAACAATTTACTTTATAACTGTCTTGGCTTGTTAATGCACGTGCTAGCATTGTAGTGCACGTTGTTTGTGTCAGTTGTTTTGCCTGTCTCTGGTGGTGTTGTGTGGCTCCTTTATTTGAGTATCTTGTGGTTGGTGACAAACTGTATTGGATTAATGCTGAGTGTGCATGTGTGGGTCTTTGTTCTGCCGTATTTGAAAAGTATATTTTGATTTGTTATCAGCTATTGGCTCTGCTTTGTTAGATAGACAACATCAGGCGTTCTATGGTTCACCGTGAAAGACGAAATCCCAATTTCTTGTGCTTTGATTGTGCAGTTTTCGGGGTCGATACATCAGCCCTTGGAAGTACCCTAACGATTGCATCTCTTAACGGGACTACTCACAGCAGCCGCATTTTCTATGGGGGCGAAAATGCTTGAGGCCCATGTGTCTAGATTTAGGTGCACGTTACATATCACGAGCTAACCGAAACTTTCGAAGGTTTCTTATGGATAGGAAATAATTGTAAATTCAAAGGCTAGTTTCGTTTGTTGTAACGTTATAGCAATCAAATGATGATTCATAATGAGAACAATAATGAGGCATCATACTCTCTTAGTTCTCGCAAATGGCAGCTTGAGGTTGGCCATTACGTTACGATTTTTCATGCCTAAAAAGTCATTCGCTGCTTTCCTTATACTATAGGTCATTTTATTTATGGAATCTGCTGGGCTGTAAAACCATTTTCTATTTGCCGCGATCTTTAGAATTGATTCCTTTTCATATGGTAGGGCACTTTCTATGAGGGCGAAAATGCTTGAGGCCCATGTACCTAGATATAGGTGTACGTTTAAATACACAAGATAGCTGATACTTTTGGAGGTGTCTTGAAGATAGGAAAAAAATGTAAATTTAAAGGATACTTTTGTTTGTTGGAACAATATGGAGAACAAATGATGACAAATAATGAGAACAATTATGAGGCACCATACTCGCTTAGTTTTTCTAAATGGCAGCTTGAGATTAGTCATAATGTTTCAATTTTTCATGCTGAAGAAAAGTCATTCGCTGCTTTTCTTATACAATACGTCCTTTTATTTTTACAATCTGCTGGGCTGTATTACCATGCAAAAAAATTTAGGACATATTTGAAACATATTGGTAGAGTGCAGAAGTGTCTTTAGAATGTTTGATGAGCCAACGCGGCGAACAATTTCGCAAAGGCAAGCTCAATTCAGTTTCCAGTGAGGGCTTTCAACTGAAAGTACACTGCCATACGAAAATGAATGAATTCTAAAGATTATGGCTGAGAGAAAACTTATTCAACGTGTATTCATAGAATTAACTAAGGCATGTGATCAAATAAATCATGATACCGTGCTAGAAACAGCCCAGTGTTAAAGCACTCATGGCATTTGAATTTCATAAGCTATTTATCTAACGTGGAACAGTGTCTGTTGACGAACGGAGAGCTATCATCAGAGTTAAGGATGGTGTACCTCAATGGAGCATTGAGGAACACCTGATATATAATATATTTATTAGTCTCACCGTTGCAGTGGACGGCGTTGTAGAGTAGGTAATTCATACGGATTGCTCTATAAGCAATGCAGTGCTGTTCCTTGTGAAATTACCTGCTTTCCACAAAGCCTTATTCTTTCTCTCTATCAAACTCTGAAAATAAAATCTTACCATTCGTCTTATAACACTACCTTTAATAACGTTAAAACTGAACTGTCTGAACTATAACAGCACACGGTGTGCAACATCGCAAACATATGGCGTGGAAGCCACATACCGATCATATCAGTCCTTAAGTTTGCAGTGTGTTAAGTATGCTGCGTCAATGCCAGAATATACTACCTGTAAAAATGTATAATATTTTAGATTGCTACACTTTTGTGGTATGCCTCTGTGATCGTTGTCTTGAACAGCGACATCTTTCTGGTCGTCTGCGTGTTGCTCCCATTGATGTATGAGTTTCAGTTCCACCAGTGAAGTTGCTTGAATGCCACTGCAATTACAATCGAATATATTTATTTTAGCAGAAGAAAAGACAGGCTCTGGAGAGTTTCAATGAATAGAGGCCGATTCTTCTATATGTTAAAGCTGCGCTATATTCTTCGCATGAAGAGCTTCCATTTTTTGGGTGACGTAAGAGTCTAACACCGGAAACAAACGCTCAGGTAACTTAACATTAACTACTGTGCCAAATAAAGTCCCTTATACATCACATGAAGCACGCGGCTACAAAAGAATTAAGAAGGCATTAAAAAAACTCGTATTTCAATGACTTTTGAGAATTTAGGGCAAATTTCTTGAAATTTCCGCTATACGTAAACGCAAAAATAGGCATGTATTACGAAATGAGAAAGTAACGTCAGCTAAAAATGGAACGTTGTGTACTACAACGGTTTAACCTATGATCAAACACTTGCAGTGATAAAACACTGCAACGCTTACGAGTTGTCATTCCACTTAGCAGGACAACCTAAAGCACTAAGCTAAGACAACCTAAAGCAATGTGGCGCTTGTGTACCACCCACACTTCAAGTGGTACAAGTGACCAGACGCCCTATTTTGGTGAGGCATGTCTCGGTTTTCCGGCTGGTGTGTTTAGTCCCCCTTTTACCCTACAGCAGCTTTTAGTAATGTATAGCTCAGCCACAGCCCCCCTTTGCTATACTATATACTACACAGCATTGTTTTTCTTTTCCTTCTATCTTTATTTGTTTCTATGATTTGTTTGCCTTGTTTATGTCTTTTTTCCAGTTCTCTTGCCCATATTCATATGTTTCCGGTAAATGCACGTTCAGCGACTCTGCCTGGATAGCAGGGTGGCTGAGACACTCGCCTTTAGTGCGTAGTTATTTTTGTTCTGACCCCGTTTAGACTTTTCATTGCGTTTTGTTTATTTATTTTCTTCCACTCTCCATTTCCCATCTCTTTTTCGTCCCCTTGCCTTCCTATTCTTCATTTAACTAATTATGATTTTCTTGGTAACGCATGGCTTCCTCCTTCCCGGATACTTTCTTCAGCCCTCCTTTCTTCGCTTGGTTTTATTCTCTCCCACCCTGGGCTCTAACTTTCGTCCTCACCGATATCTATCAATCTGCTTCACTCCCCTTTTCCTCACAGGCACCGTACTATGTAAAAAATTTAGCCATATCCACGAAGTGAATGATGATGAGTGGGCGAAGCTCCGGAGGTAAACCTGGTAAACCATGAATTCTCTGTACATTTTGCCCACTCGATTTTATTACATCGCTCCCCCTAGCGTACGTCGCCGCACTAAATCGAAAGATTGCCTTCAACCAATCACACGTGCCATATGTGACATCATTCCTATTTTATAAGATCTCGCGTCTTTCATCAACTACAAGTACCGCTTTCTAGTTTATAACATCTTTCATCTTTTCATCATCAGTACAAGTACCACCATCTAGTAAACACTACAAGAACTAAACGAGAGGTGGCTACATACAGGAGACGGTACCGCCATCTAGTGAACACTGCAAGAACTAAACTAGAGGTGGCTACATACAGGGGACGGTACCGCCATCTAGTGAACACTGCAAGAACTAAACTAGAGGTGGCTACATACAGGCTACAGGGGACGCACAGCCCACGCCCTAAGGAGCTTCGCCCCTAAAAGGCTTAATTGCTCATTCCTTTCATGCACACATGCCCGATAATTTGCGCACAATACGTGGACTTGCTTTAAGCACTTTTGATCGAACTATGACTTGTGCTTCCTTCAATTCTTCCCAGGTGAATACGTGGGAGTCCCTTTTGTGTACCACCGACTTGCCACAACAATGCCGGGTAATCTCTCACACAATGGAGGCCACATTGTCCCAAGGGATCCCCGCTTATCTCCTATGAGCAACTTAACCGACCTCTGGGTCCATGTAATGAAATTTTGTTCATCATCATCATTTCCACCTCCCCCCCCTTCCGCTTTAGAGTGTGTTTCTAGTGAGGGCTGGTTTCATTGTCTGGAGGACAGCGTTGCGGAGTTACCAGCTCAGAATCAGAATCACTTCGGATACATTTCGCATTTTCTTGACACTGAATTTAAATGGGCACAATGCTTGAAGGAATGGAAAGGGGAATGAAAGTGTTTTTTTATCGGAAAAGAGCACGCTAAAGTTTATACGCGCTATTTTTGAAACTTCAAACATTAGTAAGTCAGAGTCTTATATTCAACAGTAATGTAGTATTTTTAAAATGGCTTGGCTGATAAGCTTGTTATATTTAGTAGCAACGCGCTTGATACTACTCTGTTCTTACATAGCTGAGGTCAAGAACACGTGGCCCGCTTACGCCTCAGTCGTAACCCATGGTCCACACTTGACTCTCACCGCATTTTGGTAGCGTAAGCTGCACTGGCAGAGGTTGGCCTGTTTCGTGTGGCTTATCGAGAGCCGTACTGGGCGTGCTCGAGGAGAATTGATATCAAGCGGCACTAAGTTGGTGCACCGCTGAAGGCCTGAAACTTCCCAGAGTGACTTGCCACTAGCGGGCACGGTCTCTAGCCCACCCGTCCTTCCATAGATCCGTGCGCCTAACCATCTGTCTGTCCATAGCTTACGCTACGTATATGCTGGCATAGCCGAGCTAAGCCAGCGCTACTTCTTTTTCTTTTTAGGCCGACGCTCACGAGCTGCACATACGTGTCTGGTCTCAAGCACCTTTTTTGTACGGCACTCCAAGTGATCACGTTGTGTTAAAACGTAACTGTGGCACAAAGTTTTCATATCTCAGACTGACCGACGAAATTTCCCTGATTTAGCGATGTATATCAGCATATTCACAAAACCTGCCTGCGAATTTCCTTCAGAAATGACCTCTATATGAAATATGGGAAAGGTCTTCTTTCATATGGCAGCATTATCTGACATTTTAGATGTCCTCGGACCGCCATTCGAGGTTAGTTTTAAACTTTTGTTACATAGAATGTCTGCCTCCGAAGTTTGTTTTTATTCTTCGCGTGACCGCCGCTCTTTGGCGGCGCTTTCTGTCGTGGGGAATTACGTGGGCTGTGCAGCCCCGCTCAAGCCTTAGGATTTTCGGCCACTCGGTGGCACGCTGGCCACCTGCTGTCTCCCCACCTTTTACTTTTCTATTTTTGTTTCAACTGCCATTGATGATTCTTTCACTTTTGTTGGCATTGATCACTAGGAAGCATACTAAAACTTCAGGGTTGTGCGACATTCTGAATATTTTATTACGAATCCAAGAACACTGTATTTGATGCGGCACTTGAATCAAACAGTACATATTCGAAGAAGTTCGAAATACCGAACACTTTTTAATGATCTATCAATATATAATTTTATTTTTATTTTATTTATTCATACTGTATGCCTTACCAGGCGCGGTCAAGAAAATACAGAGTGGATACTACATCCGTACACATATAGCGAGGAACAGAAATATAATAGTAACAAAAAGTAGTAAAAATCAAAACAAGAAAGGATAGCCACAAAGACGACTGGATGGGACTACATAATAAAATAACGAGAAAAAAACACAACAGAGACTATGATAACATGTGGGGTATTACGTTATAAAACCACTTTGTGATTATGAGAGACGCCTTAGTGGAGGGCTCCGGAAATTTCGACCACCTGGGGTTTTTTTCCGAGTACCCAAATCTGAGCACACGGGCTCACACCATCTTCGCCTCGATCGAGAATGCATCCGCCGCAGCTGGGACCTTAACCACTAGACCACTGCGGCGTGGCCACAGCAGAGACTAACAGGGAACAGCACACATTAGACAACTCTACGATTGATAACTGCGGATGGCATAGAACCAAAGAAGTGCGTCGCGCGAGAAGTGGCGCCGTTATGTACGACGTCGCTACTTACTGGCCAAAATATGTCTCATGATCGGCAGCGAGTAAGTGAGCAGATCCTGAGGATACTAAATCTTGTGGGAGGTTAGTTAATCCGTAGTTCAATGATTGATGGAAAGTTGAAATACCTAAATGTACCTGAACGGAGAATAAAAGGCCTGATACTGTTGTGGTTAGTTCGTGCTGAGCGCTGATGTGGTGGTTCTAAATACTCGTGCTTGTTTATATTGATACCGTCGTGATAGAGTAGATAGAGAAATTTTTAGGCAGCAGTGCGACGCCGGATTGCCAAAGTTTGAATGTCTGCCCTATTGTGTAGAGTGCTTATGCTATCTCCACGTCAATACTGGGAATACACAAACCGAAGCGCTTATAATTTGAATTCCTTCCCATTGTTTAAAAAGATAAATTTGGTGTGGGTTCCACACAATACTGCTGTATTCAAGGATTGCCCGTATAAGGGCTTTGTAACTCGTTAGTCTGACTTCGGCCGGTGCTAGAGCAAATTTTCTGAGAAGAAAACCCAACTATCTCAGTATGCTTTTGTGCACGTCTGGCTCTAGTGATCATCCCATTTTTATGTGTTCGTGATGGTAACGCCCCAAGTATTTCACTGAAGCGGCCTCAGCTACGTGTAGTCGCGTTAGCTGATACACTAATCTTTAAGATACCTTCTTCCGGGTAATATGCATGTACGAAGTTTTTCCTACATATATTTCTATTTTCCATTCATGAAACCATCTCGAAATGTTAGGGAAAGAGGTATTTAGCCGGATTTGGTCATCTATTGTTCGTACTGTGGTGTAAAGAACACAGTCGCTCGCAGAGAGTCTCACCGGTGCATAAAGTTCAACGTTAAAATGAATGCCGTTAATGAAAATCAGAAATAAAATGGGGCCTAGCACAGACCCCTGTGGAACTCCTGAGTGAACGTGTTACTCCCCAGATTCAGCATCACTTATTTAAACGTACTGGGTGTGGTATGAAAGATAGGGGGTTATTCATTGTTCTATACTGGTTTATGTCCCGATACTCTTCAGTTTTGACTTAGTTTATGATGGGGTACCCTGTGAATTGCTTTAGAGAGGTCTCCTAATATTGCATCAGATTGAAGTCGTAGGTTATGTACAACAGGAAAGTCATGCGCAACTTCGAGATGTTGAGTTATGGTAGGAAGGTCTTTACGAAAGACGTGGTGCTTGGAGTAAAGTAGGTTGTCTTCTGAGCAGGTGCTGATCGCCTTGTTGATGATATGCTTCATCATTTTACAATAAAACTAGTCAGCGAGTTGAGCCTGCAGTTGTTCACAAGTAGCCTGTTGCCCCTTTAATGATAGGAAGGATCTCGGCACGTAGCCAGTCTATAGTCAAAGTGGCTGTTTGAAGTGACGCCACAAAAATCGCATGTATTAAAGGGGTTAGTTGTTCTGCGCAACACCGAAAAAAAGCATTCGGAAGATTTCAGGGCATGGAGATTTTTTCATTTCAATCTGTAGCATTGATTGATTGATTTGTGGGGTTTAACGTCCGAAAATCACCATACGATCATGAGAGACGCCGTAATGGAGGGCTCCGGAAATTTCGACCACCTGGGGTTCTTTAACGTGCACCCAAATCTTAGCACACGGGCCTACAACATTTCCGCCTCCATCATAAATGCAGCCGCCGCAGCCGGGATTTGAACCCGTGACCTGCGGGTCAGCAGCCGAGTACCTTAGCCACTAGACCACCACGGCGGGGCATTTCAATCTGTAGCAATAAATTAAGTATTGCATTCTGGGTTTCGACCACTTGTGACATTGATAATGCAGAATGATTGCCGAATAACTTGCACTGAAGGGAGAACCGAAAAACAACGAAACTTGAAGCAACTAATGTTGCAATATTCTTTTAATAAACCCCTAAAAACTTCTGTACCCAGCCCAATCTTTACAAGAGACTCTCGAATGTATGTTGATTGCTGGATGAACGTGTTTCTTCTTAACCCTTCACTCTTGCTCACTGTTTACTTAGCTGTTCGCATTGATGAACGCCTATCTTCATCTTGTAATAACAGAACGTGGCGGCTACTAGTGCTTCAGCTTCATGGGTAACAGATGCAATCTTTGTGTCTGCGCAAATTTTTTTCGCGTATGTTGATGTAAACGCCCATCATTACATGCTTTTTGTGCGCAGGTCATGTTGTGATCACAGGTTAATCTGATTCATTATATCTTTAGATGTATTTGTTGTGTTTGGTTAGAAATCGTTTAGTTTTTTTGTTCTAATTTTATTTTAAACAAGCGACAATGTCTGCCATGGATGACGTTAGTCAATGCTGTATTTCAACCTACAGTTACAAAATCATTAGGAGGCTCTAGGTTCTGCTGTATATGAGCTTACCATAGTTTGCTTGTATGTGGTATTTTGGGTCGATTAAAACTAACTGTACTGGTTCTTGGTGAAGGTTTGTGAATATTTGCTTCAAGCAGAGTGTGGCGGTATTGCAAGGCTGTTTTGAAAATTGTCCAATTACTGTTCAGAAACTACTCGAACAGTATTCTACTCGCATCCGATTCAGTTTCAAAACTGAATATTCGCACATCTATAGAAAAAGCGCCTAAACTAAGTTGTGATGCGTATTGACGTTGGTATGATGCTTACGTTCACTGGAAGCTTTCCTATGCCAGATCGCACGTGGTCTCATTTTATACTATGCCTCTTCCCTCACCAATACCTATTCTGCAATACTTTCTCCCCTGTCTTCACGAGTGGGTGTCTTTGTCCGAAATATGACACCAAGCTACTAACGCTCAGTCTTGGTAATGTGGTTTGCATACTTTTGCACGCCTTAATGCATCAGGCAACATGAGCTTATTCGGGCGTTCATTTTTAACTCGATAAAACTACCAATATGCCTTTCCTACGACGAGTATTACAGGAATAGAATTGAGATTCCCGACCAATCCAGGAGTGAGAGTGGGCAAGATTTTTTCATTCCGAAGAACTAAAAGGAACGGAATGGCGACAAACTTCAATACCCTGGAATGGAACTGGAATGAAATGAAAGCATTCATTCCGAAAGACTGCTGGAGGATGAGGGAGGTGCCCAATGGCGTTGCTGCCTCTCGAATATACCGAGATGCTAAACCTGCTTCGTGATAACATTAAAGAGCTACAGAGGTGGCGTTATCACGAAAGTTGTCGTAACGTGCATGATTTTCTTCTATAATGTTTGCTTTACAGCAACTTTGATTTGCCTGCCCCGGTCGGTGATGAAATAGAAATTTTGTAGAAATCAGTACAAGGTGCTATCGTATTTGCAGGTACTTGTGAATATTCGACTGAACTTCACCTCGGCTTTCGATATTCAATTTACAAACAGACTAGTAACTTCATTATTCTACCTTTATTCTTCGTGAGTTTTCTCCTTGTAGAAGCTCCACAGAAAAAGAGTGGCAGATGATATTTCGGCATGAGATGGTCATCAGTCTAGTGGAAAGTTGGGTTTAAGTCTACTGCTGCCAGCTGAATACGCAGCGGACAGCAGAACTCACTTGAATGAAATGTGTTACATGTAAGCGCTGAGCTTGTAAATGTGTAGCTACCTGGGCAGCTAGTGTTCGATAGACTGAACATCAACTTAAAGGTAATCAGCTGTGGTGTGAATACGAAGCGTGAATAATCGCCTATATACAAAAAAGAGGAGCTTTGTTAATCAACTCTTTTTGAAACAAAGCAGTAGCACGTTGTAAATTTGCCGATGACGAGAAAGTTCTTTTCGTTGTGGGATTTCCTGCGTTTATAATGGATACGGTACTTTTCCAGTTTCCGCTGTTGCAATTGGGTGGTGTTCCTTTGAAATAGTCATAACTCAAGCGTGCGTTGTTTTTTTTCTTCCATTCTTGCATTTCTACACAGCGGTGCGTTCCACTTGAATGTTCATTATTCTCCGGCAGGAGTACGGCTGCTCACCTGTACAGTCGGTGCCATGGTCGCGCTGCCTCTGATGGTTCCCGAGGACGGGCTGTGTGCCATCATATTCTACATGGACGTGTTCTACAACAGTAAAAAAAGAAACATAGAGCCGGTATACAGCAATACCGCCTTCAACGTTATTAAATCCATACTGAAGAAGTATAGGATGACATCTTTCGGGCTCTCCATGTTTCAAGGGTGAGTCCCCGTCATGCGTTCTGCAGTTGCATTGTTGAAGGTGTTCTTTTCTATGCAGGGATTAAAGTTTCACCCCATCCACCCCACGACACCATTGTTTGAGCGGGAAAAAGAGCTCTGCATTTAACGCAGAACTGGTGGTGCTTTATTCAACAATTTGCCCTGGTCTCCCTGGATATGTGTGCGCAAAAGTGGGAACCAAATGATTCTTGGAATGCTCTATCAGGGCTCGTCGGCTGACATCATCATAAAAATCTGAACGCCATAACCATTCAAACTTGCCGCCTTCCCTCACCTTCTAAATAATTTAGAAGACAAGCGTTTGAGCTAATCGGTCCTCCATACTCAATAACCGCAAAATCCTTCAGACATATGTCGTCAACAGTCACGGCCGAGTGCCATCTCTGAACAGGTTTCATTCTAGGATAATGAGCGATTCATCACCAACGTTCGAAGCCCACCTCTGAAAAAGGCTCACCAAGAGGTCATGCCAGCACATTTACTATACCTCCACGCCGCACCTCTCAGCCCCCTCCCAACTTAGTGGGAGGGGGGGGGGATGCTTACGGAAAAAGATACCGGTGAAGGCTGAAAGGCTGGCAGGGTGGTAAACCGTGTCAATGATACATCAGTAAGATCGTACGTCAATGAAAACAGGTTTCTCGCATGCGCGTATATGAATTTGTGGTTTCGTAAAGGTAATAATGCATTTTTTCTGAATAGAAAGCAGTCCCGAGTCTGCAACCAGCACTCTTATTTTCTTGGCCGTGCTTCTTTTGCGCAGCGTTTTGTTTACTGATAACATTGTATAAGCACGTTGACTCCTATAAGACGCACACATTGGCATAATCTTTTATGCATGTGTATATACCATGCATTGGTGAAGAGATATATCCTAATGAAAACCAGCACAAAACTAAAGTAAGGAAAGTATACTCGGCGCACGTCTATTCTTTAAGTGATGCAGTTATCGCGTGATAGATGTGAAGAAAAGAAAAAGGGCGAAAATTCAGCTTGCCGCGGCAGGCACCTGCGGTGAGCTTTATTTTTGTTCATTGTCTTCCCTGTTCGTGACAAAGGTTGAACCGCGTCGTCGGCTACGGCAGCGCACGCTGGCCGTATTGTCAGGCAGCGGGGGAATTCCATTTTTGCGGCGGAAAACGGTGCCAATTTTCTGATAATGTCACCGGCACGCCTCACTGCCGTTCAAAATCAGCGCCATCATCGCTGCCGTTGGGGACTTGACGGGGTATTAAGTGAAGTTGAAAACATCACACGTGAATTTTGGCGCCCAGGAGTGAGTCCAGTCGTAAATAAAAATATCATTAAAAAGAAGCGCCTTCAGGTAGTTATTTTAGGCTACGGAGCAGTTTACTGAACTTGTTTGTTTTAATTGATCTGAAACCACGTAGCTTCGCAGCAGTCGCAGTAAATTGCTTTGTTTATGTTTTTGTGAAATAAACACGATGCCCGATACGCGCCCTTTATGGTATTCCTCGTGACAGGGCATTGCAGGCTCGCACAAAAAAATATATGCGTGAACGTACTCATTACTTCAGTGTTCAGATAGAAGAAACAACGTTTGATGTCAAATTGTTTCCAGAACCCTATTATCGTCAATGAAGGCTTCAAGGTGTCCACCGCACAACGGTTAATACATAATATCGGCCAAGTTTCCGCAGAAACGAAGAAATCAGCAGGCTGCCCGACAATGTTGCCTACGCGCACCACCGTCGCAGACTATGTGGTTCAATAGCACTCTCTTGAAGCGTCTGCGCATGCGCGGGCTGCAGCCGGAGCTCCACTGCAGTGCGGGCCAGATCGCAATGCCATGCGCTCCGATATTTTCCCCAAGTGTGAAACGTACTAACATGCATGCCGAGTGCGCACAGCAGTAAGAGCCTCTGTCGTGCAACTTGACCTTTAGGTCTTGCTGCTCATTCTCTCTGAGAAAGAAGGAAAATAAACCTCGACATCACATTTTCTTTTTCTTAATGTGGCGCAGGACAGTTGGCCAGTCCATAGAAAAGAATAAAAACTTTATTCGTTCTGGCTTGGGATATCTCTACGCCGATGGATGGGTGCACTTGGGTATGCTGAATGTGGATAACATGTTTGACTACGACAAACTGAAAAATGAACCACTGAAGTACTTAGAGGTAGGTGCATAAATTTATAATAGTCACATCAATATATTTCCATTCTACTCTGTAGATCAAAATATGCGGACGGGCGAAGGGGTTGCACAGGTCACCGCCTGACCCACATTTTATTCAGAGCAAGAAAGCGTGAAACAAACGTTAATAATGGTTCAGAAAAAACATGTATTGTAACGAGCAAACATCATTGAGTAACAATATTAGAGCTATGCGAGAAAATCACTTTCTGGTGATTAATTGTTAACGGTTATGTTTGCACAACAAGTTCAGTTATACATGACGATGCCAGAAGCGTCGTCTCCTTACTCTTCAATAAAATTCGTCAATAAAAATTCGTCTTGGGAACATGTATTGCATAGTAGATACATTTCTCAAAAAGTACAGCAGGACTGCACGGAAGGTGCACCACAGTCACAGCGAAAGCTAGAAGAGCGTCCTTTAAAAACCTTCTGAGGAATCTCATAGGGTAACTACTGCAAACACACTTGCTTGATACCCACTAGGCCATTAGCAATAAACTTTTGGGTGATATATAATGGCTTTCGCTATGCTATTTTTCGTCATTCTTCTGATAAGCGTGGTATCCGCTAACCACTTGCAAGGAATTTTCGTGCCAAGTGTTCATGCGTTGGCTGACGACGATGAGGAATTATGGCTGAAGTGGATGTGCAGTCACACTTGATAGAGGAACAAGGACAAGCTTTTGAAGCTTTTGTAATAGGTTGCAGCATTGGACGACCCACTCGTTATGCTGCTCACGTTGTGCAACAACTGGTTGTTCTGACGCTGCTTTTTAAACGCTTTATAAGTCGTATTAACGCGATTGTTTTCTCGAAATCAAACATGTCTAAGGCAAGTAAGGTGATACCGGTGTGGCGCAGTGGAGGAATACTGGACTGTGACCCTGCTGACCCTGGTTCGAGCCCCACTGTGCCGTTGGTGCTAGGTTTTCGTCTTATTTTGTGCGCTGTGGTTGCGCACACTGCGGCGGCGGCGGACAACAGCGCGTGACCCGAATTGTCATCCTAAACAGCTTTCGCTGCAATATATATATATATATATATATAAGTTACAAAGAACATAGTTTTTTGCGATAGCGATCATATGGACCCTCAAGGCTGGATTTCGCGGTCGGCGTCCGCATCAGTCATGCGCCGTACTTTATATATATATATATATATATATATATATATATATATATATATATATATATATATATATATATATGAAAACACAAAAGAAAGGAAAAATATTTAGAAAAAGCACTACAGCGCGCGGAATCGAACGAGGAGCCCCCGCGTTGGGAATGCCAGGCGTTAACCACTGAGCCACTGAAGGGTTTTCTTTCCTTGATTCTGAGCCACCGAAGGGTACCTACTTCATCATTCAAATGCAAGCTATTTATATCTTCCACTTACCGCTGTTGGCGGACATCTTGGGGGGGGGGGGGGGGTGGACCTAATTGTTTACAGCATTGTCAGCAAAATGACACAGTGAACGCGCGGTGGCTCTCATCTACCACGCGCACTTTGGCCAGCGTAGAAAATAAGGGGTGTACGCTCGATTGCGAGCCCTTATCTTGCGCAGAGGAGGATCGTACGTCTTGGCTAGCCTTTGGGTTTCTGCGGAACAATTCTGTTATAATTACCGGGCGCACAAAGATGAGTGAAATTGTTGCACAGACTCTGTTTGTGAAAAGCGCACGCTTTTTTGACACAGCGAAGCAACAACTGAGACGCTTATTCATGTTATCTGTACTTGTGAGTACGGTTCGTGCGTTATTTGTGCGTGAGAAACGCGGGGCACGTTTCGATCTGCTCTCCATTCTGCGCGTGACCTTCCAATTAGTTGCTATTGCGTTTATTGGTTCGCCCTTATGGCAAAGCTGTAACATTTTTTATATTCAATGCTACTTTACCTTTCGTATATTATGAACAACTGTAGTTGCTAGTGATACGGGCAACTGGTTATACATCAGACTTGCAATATAAGCAGATAAGCCACCTGTCAAAATATTGGGCTTAGGAAAAAACGCTGAATACTTCGGAAAAATCACACAGACACAGCATATGGATTTTGTACCAGTCAATGAAAACGTGTGCGAAAGTCACGCTGTTAAAAGAGAATGCCGCCGTAGTGTTCACCATCTCGTAATGGTGGTCAATCTCACGACGATGATTTTACAGTAACCATAGTTTTGTTTCTGCGAAGCTTGTAATTTGAAGCAGAAACGTGCCGACCTAGATAGATGCGGTGTCAATACACCTTTACAATCTCAAGATTCGTCTCTCTTAGTAGTTCAGTTATTAAAGGAACGCCTGGTTCTTTCGCCTGGTTGTTTTCTTTCATAGTTGATTTGGAGACTATCCGAAATATATTCGCTAGTAGCAAGCTATTCGAATCAGGTACTAAATCGAATACAGAGTCAATCTATTCGTTATTCTATATTTTCAGTTTTTGTCACATCTGGCGCATCGAGTGCGCACGCGTTGAGCGCACAGCGCGACCAGAAAGTTTACTCGTATCGCAGTCCCGTTGCTGGAGTATTTCGCCGAAGGAGCTCAGCAGCAAAACAACATAACTTTGTGATTGCTTCCTCTTCTTTTATTCGTTTTTGCAGTCCGCGCGGGAAACACATGTAAAGGTGGCCGTATCAAATTAGCTGCAGAAAATATGCCTCCACGCAAAACAGTTCATTTCATTCTCTTCATGTCTCTCTTTCCTGTCCTTTCCTTCAATTCCTCTGTAATTTGTCTGCCAACTAGAGGTATGGCATCCGACTTTGGACAAACCAGCACACATGTTCTGGGAGCGAAGCAAAGGTTGACAAGGAGGACGGAAAGAGCGCGTGTGGGCACACAACAACGGCAGTTTTCTGTTCACTCTGAAAGATTAAGCAGCTACACACTGCTACAAAAAATGTAGACTCTGTCTTGAGACGAAAACAACAACAACATCAACAACAATACAACAACAACAACAACAACAACAACAACGACGACAATAATAATAATAATAATAATAATAATAATAATAATAATAATAATAATAATAATAATAATAATACTAATAATAATAATAATAATAATAATAATAATAATAATTATAATGTTATGATAATAATAATATATTACTAATAATGATAGTATTTGAATGAGTAATTATAAAAATAAAATATTCCCATTAGGAGCATCAATGACAATAATAAAGTTATTTCCATGGCGCATTAGCTATTGCTACTGCCACAAATGTTCATTTCCTTATGTTTTTTTTCCACATGGTGAAGGTTGCGAGAGCATTCCTCGATTCTAAGAAGCCCACTTTGCCTCAGCATCACGTCGCCTTGGGGGTCGGTATGAGACATTCTGGTGATGGTGACAGGCTTCTGGACAATGCTGATTTAGCACTCAAGTGAGTACAGCGCGTTTTCGGTGAAGCATTTGCATATGTGTGCCCAGAGGCTCTACGAATGTGTCAGATTTCGCTGATGAGATGTCCAAAATTGTCAGTAGGAAAGTTTCTAAGCTGAGGCGTATTTCGCAGTGAAAGCTGTTATCAGATTTTTTTTTGTTTTATTAATACTGTCAGCACGTAAGCCAAGATAAGAGTTGGGGTTACACAACTCTCATGTACAAACATAATACATGCTAAAACAACTTTACCCCGGAACACTCAAGACTTGTAAATCATACCAGAATAAAAAACAAAACACAAATCTTAATAGAAAACATTCCGTAGAGCTCATTGATATACGTAAAATAAGAGGTTCGATTACACCCCGTACACTTCACCAAAGGAAAGGGAAAAATATTATTTGAATTTATATAGTAAATTGAACATGTTCAGACAACGGGTAACCAACAAGACAATTGAAGGGCGAACAAATGCTAAAGCAATACAAAACGTTCACGAATATTCCAACAAAGCCTTTTGAAATCCTTCTAGATTGCAAAATTTGACTATGTTTTGAGGTAATCGATTTCAATATACAATGCTCGAATAAAAAAACAATATTTGAATAAATCTGTTTTATGGTTAATTGGTGTAATATGCTTTGACTGTTTTGCCCTGGATGAGGTAGTTTTCTCTGGTACGATGTGTTAACCTAGGTTGACCCTAAAATCTGTGTTCAGTATGTCAAAAAACGATATCCGTCAATTAGGTTGAATTTTTCTTTTCAGCGTCATTATTCCTGTTTTTTCTCTAAGCTCGCTGATAGACTGAGTTTTGAATACGCGTTTGAAATTAACCGCAAAGCTTTATTTTGTATAGGCTCACATTTTAGTGTATTTGTTTTAATGTAAGTTTCCCACATATAACTAGCGCAAGTCTGTACTGGGAGAACTGTCATTTTGTATGCAATTGCTTTAGCCTCTGGAGTTGCATTGTGCAGTTTTCGTCATAACGACTAACGTTTGTGAATGGCTCTATGACAAACATCAATGACATGCACTGGCCAGTTCATGTTGTGTGCAGGGCGAATACCTAGGTATTCAACATCCTTAGCTTCTGATAACAGTGCGCTTTTAGTGCTGTACGGAAAAGATAGTGAGCTTGTTTTACGTGTCATGTGCATGAAAAATGTTTTGGATGCATTAAGTTTCATTTGGCGCTCATCGCACCAAGCACTATTTTTTTTGTAGGTGCTATTCAGAACCAGTTGGTCATTAGAGGAGCAAATGTTTGTATACACAAGTGTATCAGCTGCATGATGTCTTATAGCTACTCGCTGTAAAAAACCTTCACCCATATAACTAATGTAGATAGAAAAAAGTAAAGAGCCTATAACGCACCCTTGTGGCACACCTGATAGGACAGCATTATTAACAATTCGTACATTATTAGTTTCAACAAATTGTTCTTTGTTTGACAAATACGCCTCTATCCATTTTTGTTGTTGAGTGTCATCAAGGAAACAAGATAAATTCATAAGCAACTTCCTATGTTATATTTCGTCAAAGGCTTTTTGAAAATCAATAAATATGATGTCCATTTCACCCTTTTCATCAATACACTGAAAAATTTCGTGTGTAAGCTCTCTAAAATCGTAATAGTAGAGCATCCTGGCCAAAGCCCATGCTAATTTTTACCTAATATATCATTTTCTTTCACAAACGTCATTAGGTGAGTAGACAAAATGTGCTCCAGAGTTTTAAAAGAAGTACTTGTCAACGAAATAGGTCGGTAGGTAGCGACGTCTTTTTCAGAACCTCGTTTGTGACTTAGAAGTGTGGCAGCTTGGGCTAGTTAATATGACATAATAGTTGCAGCGCGAGAACAGAAGGACGACACAGAGACAAGAAGAACAATCTCTGTGAGAATTCGTGTCCTCCTTGTCCTTCTTGTCTCTGTGTCGTTGTTCCGTTCTCGCGCTCTAACTATCGTCTTTTTTGTGAATTGGTATTACCTTGGCACACACCCAATCTATCGGAACGTCAACGGAGTGAAGTGATTCTGTAAATATGTCCGAAAGGAAAAACAAACACTACTCGGCATATTGCCACAAGATGGCGTTGGAAATTTGATCGGGCTCTGGGAATTTTTTCTCATCTATTTTAAGGAGCAGATTCAGAATGCCCTCTTGTGTTATAGTGAGCTAAGCTAGACGTTGTTCACAAGAAAATCGCACTTGTGGGGTTGAGGCATCGTCGCAAATGAAAACTTATTCAAAATATTCATTCAAGTGACAAGCAATTTTATAATTATCTGTGATAGTTACGTCAGCGTTCTTCAAAAATTGAATGGTAGGTTTCTGTTCTGAAAAGTACCCCCAAAATTTTCCCGGTGATGTTTTAATGAAATAGGTAAGTGTTTCATTCATGTACCAGTGTTTCGCCTGAAAACTTTCTATTCTGAATTACCTGAAAAGAGATTTGATGTAATAGCATGTGTTTAGAGACAAAGGTTTTTTAGCCCACATTTTTTTAAAAGTCGTTTTTATGAATTATTTTTTTAATCATCTATGGGTTTTGCCTCTTAACTTTCTTAATAGAATTCGAAACAAACAGTTCTATTGATTTCAAAACAATTCCTTTAAACACATTTCATGCATCATTTGCTGATGTAGTATTTAGTGAGATTTACTGGTTGAAAGTATCATATCTCTGTTCTAATTAGTCTATTGATCCAGTATAATCTGCTCTATAAAAATGGCGGACTGATATGGTTTTGTTTTGCCCGAGAAGTGCGTGTAGTAGCTACTTGTGTGTTCACCATTTTGTGGTCAGATATGCCTTCCAATACTTCACACCAATAATTGAATTGCACTAAAGGCCTGCTTTCAAAGACCAAATCAAGCAATTAATCTCCGGATTTATGGGTTCGCGTAGGTATGGTCACAATTTTTGTAAATCAAGTGAGAAAGCCATATGCAGTAAGACTCGGGACACAGCTTGTTCATTTTGACCTTCCTTAAAAGTGACCCAATCAATATGCGATAAATATAAGTGTCTAGCCTTAATAATCTTCTTTGTGTAATGGTTAAACATGTAAATAAAAAATTGTTAAGCAGTATCATATATTCATCAGAAGTACCCGGTGGGTGATACACAGCGATAATTACAAAAGACATGCTATCCATTTTCACAAGGCAGCAACACATTCTAATTCCAACAGGGTAAATATTTCAGTACAATGAATTGATTCGCTTAACCATGTTTCTGTCACTACTACAACATCTGGTTCATGTTCAAAAAGCACATCTTCAAAAAGTGATGAGTTGTTACAAATGCTGCATGCATTCATATTGATAGCTGTTAGCTTGTCAGAAAAAAAGATCCCAACAAGGATGCCATTGCGGTCCATCTGCTGACGCCTGTGTCCGCAACCGATACAAATCGAGGTAAAAAACACTAAATATGAAAAACAACATCCATTTACTTGCATAAGCTTGCTTTCTCAGTTCCTTCAGGTATCGTTTGTTCTATCTTTTTACCGAATCTTTAATGACGTTTTGCCGCTTTCTCCAGATTTCTTCAATGTTAATTCATGTTGGTCTTTGTTATTGACTGGAAGTCTAATTTTCACCTACAATTTAGGCCAGCCTAATAGATAGTGGCTCATCCGGTTGGCTGTATACATAGGTCGACGACCTGTTTTAAGCACTGCTTCAACTTCAGGGGTGATTGCTTCCATCTCTTAATTGATTAGCTGTCTCTTTCGGATGACTTTCCTCGGTGATGTTTTCATGCTTCGTTATATTTTCAATGCCCCCTCACCAAGAAGCTTCTTCGGCGGTAAACTTCAACTTGATTTTATCTCTTTGGTTAGCTCTCTTAGAGACTTCTTCTTGTAAGTTTTTTAGGCCAACATTGATTCCTCTGTTGGCTTTCTTGAATGTTCTTGCGTTTTCACTATTTACAGTACGACATAAGCCTCTTCTCGCTGTTCATCTTGTGAAGGCATGTAGGAATGCTTCTGTTTTACAGTTGTCGACGACATCTGTATGCACGGTTTTTTTTTTGCACACACCAATACTTCTATGTATAGTTTTGCGGTGCCTTTTGAGGCGTCTTTTATAAACATCTGGCCTGCAGAATCTACACTAGTCACTTCAAATGGTTGTCGCTCGTGAACTATGTCGGCAGGCAGGGGTGCCGTTTCGTGCTGAATCAGCCCATAAATCCATTAATAACCTTCCTCACCAGCTGTCTTTCTTGCATTTACCATTATTTCGTTCTAAGCTCCGAAAGTGTTGCACTGACACCCAAATTTAACACGAGTTGATGCACATGTCACACTAGCAGCTTAGTAGGTCACTTTGGTAGCAATATAGGATGCTTTTCGTTGTAGTTCAGTGCGATTCCAGACTCGTTACCTTTGTGCATTATAAGCCCTTGCTCACCTTCAGACTTCCCTACCAGAAAGAAACATCCTCGGTGTCCTAGTTGTATTCCTCTTGTTGACTAGAATACGTTCCCGTATCTGTCATTGCTCCAGATTTATTATTGCCGTCTCGGCATTCTTTAGTTGCAGATAACTAGAATCCCCATTATCCGCTTTTTTCTTTCAATCAGGATGGATCTCAGAGCCCAATCAGTTACTCCGAGCAATCTTTTGTAGGTCCCACACCTCTATGCGTCGATCACTGCCAGAATTGACGTGTCTGTGTTAGTCACATAACATCCACTACTGACAGAGTCTTTCTCCGTCCCCGTCTGCTCTGTGGTATTGTCCTCCCTAAGAAGTACTTTGGGCCATGTCTCCATAGTTCCGACTCTATCAGTCTTTGCGCTCACACCTTTGGTCATAAGATCAGCTGGGTTCACTTCACTCACAATGTATTTTATACTGACAGATTTGTTGTCTTTTTTATCTCCTTTACCAAATTTATACTAAGAGGTCTTGTTCTTTTTCTTTCTGTGTAGTCACGAAAGAACACCAGTCGAGCACGGCCAGTATCTTCTATCATC